AGTGAGAAACGACTGGAAAGTAGTGATGAGCTTAGGTAATGACATCCACACAGACAGTCTCGGTGTTAGTGGGATTCAATGAGCCTTGAGGATCTGATTAGAGAAGACAGACAGACAGACAAACCAGAGTGGGGTGTGCACACAGAACTGGGCTTCACCGAACTTGGACCAGCAGATGCCGGTGCCCCCGCCCAGAACACGTGATGAAGCAACAGGGGGCTCAGAACCTATTGTCCGGCATGAAGACGGCTGCTTCCCCTAGAGCTGGAGGCAAGGAGATTCAGGTGCTACAAGGGCCACAGTGTGTCCGGTTATAAGGGTTTGTGTCATTGGCTATCGTCACCTGCCTCCCCCGATCCTGGTTCAGACCCTGAGAGACAGACCCCAGGATCTCACTGGGGACAAGGAAACCTCAGCTTTGTGACTTTTGAGGCCAGTGTGGAGACGGTAACTTGACCTTGCCCACAGTGACCTCCATGGACAGGGTCTATCTGCCAAACCAGAGAGAGGGGGTTTCAGAGTGAACACCAAGTCCGGGGGCCTGGCTTTCAGCTCCGTTCTCCTGTCGAAGGGGCAGTTTCCGTCTCCCGGCCTCAGATCTCCGAGTTGGAACCAAATGGGATCAGGCCTTTGAGTTCTCCCAACCAGCTCGCCGCCCACCCACCCACACACCAGCACGTCAGAGTGAAATCTGTCTCCCAGCACAGGACACACCAACGGGGAAGTGTGATCACTGTGACCTGCAGCGACACGTGTGCCCTGCAGCACTGAAGCACCTGGGTCAGAGGTCAGAGGCACAGACTTCCTCTCAGAGATATAAGGACCCAGGTGTGCAGCGGCCCCTGGAGAGCGACACCCAACCCAGCCCTGCAGCCTCAGCTCTGGGACTCAGGGCAGGCCGGCCACGCAGGGACCCACCCGGACTGCAGGACACATGGGTCTAACTAGAGGCGCCCCACTGCAGACACCCCGTCCACTGAAGCCTCTCCCGGGGACACGTGGCACCAGAGTGATCCGAGTTCTAAAAGGGCTGCCGAACTGCTCTCTGAAAACCAACTTGTTCAGACAGAGGACGGTCCGTTTCAGGATGGCGGTATAGACAACCACAGACACATCTCTGCTCAGAGGCCTCCCTGCGCCCCGCGTTCCAGGGTCTCGGTGTGTTTCTGGACATGAGGAAGAGTCAGGACTCACGGACAAGGGAGGCAGGACACGTGGAGGGTCACAAGGGCGGATTCCCGCCCAGCCCAGCGGCTCCCAGGGACCCCGTCCAGGCTCCCAAGGAGGTGTGGGGACGCTGTTTTGGGTGGCTGGGAGGTGGCTCTCAGGAGAGGAACCAGTGTCTGTGGATCCTGACCAACCAGCCTGGTGACTTCTCTGTGTCCCCTTCGCTGATCCCCACCAGCTCGGTCCTCCTGCTGCTTCATGATTTTGAAATTCTGGTCACTAAAACAAAGGACGGGCCTCTCTGGCCGGGGCTCCAGGCGCAGATGCGGCCCCTGGACTGGGAGAGGGGACGGCTGCCCAGGCGGCTCCCCTGACCTGTCAGCATGTGGCCGGCAAGACAAGCCCACTCGGAAACCCACGTGTTTTGCACGCTTCTCTCCCTGTCATGGGAGGGAAGAAATTCCTAGGTGAACTTCAGAGCCGTCGTTGGGACGTGGGTTTCCATGTAGAGGTTGACACATCTTGGCCAATTAGTCACCTCGGTGGCATCTACGATCATTATTTTCCATGGACATCATCTCAGCTCTCAAAGCTGAGACAGTTTCAGTGACACGTTCCCACGTGACAGTAAATGGCCCGTGTTAATTACAGCTTCATGAGCCCCAGCTGACTGTTACTGTAGTTTTCGGTGAGTCCGTAAAAGAGGCAGAGTCGTTCTGGGCCATCAATGGAGTCGGTGGGGAGTTGACCTGGAAGGGCCCCCGAGTCCGTGTTTGCCCCCACGTGACCCACACGGTGAGTCACAGACGTCAGCTGACTACACGTGCTGTGGCCATTTGGGGTTGCAGTGACCCATTCAAGCCGCATTTCCCGCACGTACAACAGGCCGGGTGCCGCTCGGAAAGGCACACGCTGGCCGGGCCCACAGCTTCGGAGCAGAGCGTCCAGCAGGGGTGGTTGAACCCCGGGGTCAGGATGATGGCCCTTGAGTGACGGGAGCTTGGGAACCCGGGCCTGATGGGACCCTCTCCCATTTCTCAGCTTCACTGATGGGCAGCCTGTCCTTCCACACCCAGGTGGAAAGGTGACGTGAGGGACCCTGGAGCACTGAGGCAGCTGGGTCAGAGGTCAGAGGTCAGAGGTGCAGACTTCCTCTCAGGAAAGGGCCAGCGAACCAACCGACAGTCCAGGAAACTCGGAGGCCTCCGCAGCCTGGTCCCCACCCCCGACACCTCGGGGACACAGCACGGAGCCCCCAACACCCGAGCTGAGCTCCTCCCTGTGCGTCTCTGACTGAGACCAAACCCCCCACAGCGGCCACCTGACTCGCGGGGTAAGTGGGTTCATATTTCAGAGCCGTTTGCTGTGCTCTGGCCTGACCTCCCGGGTCACTGTCTGAATCTGCTCACTGAGGCCTGTGTCCCAGACCCTGCAGCTAGGCCCTGGTCTCCCCGCCCCGTCCCCTCCCCCAGGATCCTTCGCACAGAAGGTTCCATTGTCCCCCCGCATCGGACTCCCACGTGCCCTGGCCTTCTGTTTCCGCAGACGCCCCTCACCCACCTCGGGTCAGGGGTCACTCGAGCATCCATGGGGTCTGGAGTGGCAGGCCCCAGCCATCCGGGCTCCCACGTGACACCAGCCTGCGGCCAGGAAGCCTGGGCCCCGCGGGACCTGAGGGTCCAGAGTGGACCGGGTGCAGCGTAGATGGTGATGGGGTTGCATCACCCCCTCAGAGCAGTGGGGGGATGACAGTGTCCTTATGAGTGAAACTGTGCTCTTTCCCGGAGCTTCAGGGGACACACGGGTCTGCACTGACTGCGTCTAACACTCTCTGGGGAGGGAGGGGAAAGTGCCCAAGAGACGGCCATGCCGGCCTTCCCTTGGTCTCCAGACTTGGAATCCCCTCCATATAAACCCTCAGATCTGCGCACATCAGACCGTGTGTCTCAGGGGCCGGCTCGGGCAGCTCCTTCACTGTGCTCCTTCACCTGTACCGTGGGGACAGTGATCGGACTGGCCTCATGTGCTTGTCAGAATCAGAGACAGGCACGAACATCCACGGACCTGGGAGGCCACTCGTGAGCCATGCTGACACTGATATGGGACTTGGGGGGGGGTAGGGGAGGGAGCTGACCACTAGATTCTAGGCAGAGAGGGAAATGAAAGGCCACCGGCTTCAAGAAGGACACGGCCGAATCCCCGAGCCCACTCGGAGGCTCCGTGGGCCAGGAAATGGGTGTAATCACAAACCTTGTGGACAGTGGGCACCAGTCACCTCTGCTGCCCACCTGACCCGCCTGGCCTGGGCCCCCACAAGTCACCCTCCAAAGCCAACCCGCCGAGCGGCCAGACCACCACCAAGGAGGCCCCCTCACAGGCACGGATCCCAAACGGCCACTTGGCTTTTCAAACAGTAGACAGAAGCCTGCAGCAGAGTCTGGAAGAGCCCAGGAATGTGACTGGTCAGAGGCCAGGACGTCGGGAGCCCCCTGCGACTGGACAGCGGAGATTCCAGTTCCTGCAGAATGAGCATGTCTCAGCTTTTCCCCGAACAAGGAGGAAGCTCCCTCTGGGCAGTTGGGGACTCACAGGGACAGGCCCCACCTGTCCCCTCTGGAGGACACCCAGCCTGGGGGTGGTTCCAACCCCTCTCAGAGGGCCGGGACCCGTGACCCCCTAACAATGGAACTCTTCTGCACTGTCTGAGATTCTGCTGGAGAAATCGGGCAGCTGCTCCGGGTGCTGCAGCCGATGCTGAGTCCTGAGGACGGATCCAGAGGGTTTGCTGTTCACCACGTTGCTCTGTCACAAGGACCCCGGGGCCCAACAGGACCTGAATGCTCCCTGCGGGGTCAGCTGGGACCTGGAACCAGGGCCCTGGGGCCCAAATTGAATTTCTCTGACGAGGCCTGGGCTCCTCAGCCAGCTCTGGGGGGTGAGCTGTCCTGGAGGAGAGGAAAGTCCAGGGCCCTGCGGTGTCCCCTCCCTGGCGCCTGACACTTGTCCCAGGGGCAGAGGCACCAGCGGCCCTGCCTTCCCTGGGGCTGGTTCCAGCCCCTCCTGTAAGTCCCCACTGGGTGAGTCTGCAAGCTGGGTCTGGGTCGGGCTGTGACCTCGGTGTGGGCGAGGCCCTGACCCCCAGCCCTCGCTGCTGAAGCCCCCCACCCCACCCGTCCCCGTGCCCTTTGGAACAGCAGCTGGAGCTCCTCCTCTCGCCCACCCTGTGCAGAGGGCGGTGTCCACAGCTCCCCTGTCTTGCAGGAGCTCAGGGGAAACACCTTTGTCAGGAGCTGCCCCGAGATCCCCGTGTGAGGCAAAGGGTGACACTAATGGGTGGAATTAGCAGCCTCAGCAACACCGAGGCACCTCCTCGTGGAGACGGTGACGCGTGTTTGGGAAAAGGAACCATCAGACGCGAGCAAACATCCCGGGCGGTGGAGGGGCCTCGGGCTCCGACACATGATGAATGAGCAAATTAGAGGCTTCGGGAAAATGTAAATACCATCCTTTGTACGTCCCTCCCTGGGCAGGGAAAGAAAAACAGTTTTTCCAAAGCACTGAGGCCTTCCTCCTATTCTTTCCCCTTCTATTCCCCCCTCCCCCGCCCCGTGTATCTGAGACTGTTTTACATACCTTGACGTATCTTCATTTGTCTTCCACTTTCCTACCATGGCCTGGGCAGTGTGTGGGGGGAACCAGAGCCGGCTGCAGTTTCAACCAGTTTTCCTCTAATTTGGTGTTTCTCAACCCGTATTTCATTACCACCCTCTAAGGAGCCGTTTTAGACCTTTTTTCTTTCACCGTCCCATCATGAAATTTTAATGCCGCAGAAACACGGTGCTACGGTTTATGTACTACAGGTACATCTGTGTTCTCGCGTAAAGAGGGTAGAATCTTTTCTTCCCCCAGAACCAGCTTTCACCTTTTGGGGAGCAGGGTCGCCTTGCGGAGAATGTCTGTTTTTCATTCATTCATTTATTCAGTGAAACATGCAGTCCGTGTGTGCCTGGTGCAGACTCTGGGCACAGGGGACATGGCAGCGCAGGTGACCAGTGTGGATGGAGCCTAGAGGACAGAGGGGAGTGTGGAGAGAGGTAATGCTAGAGAGGTGACAGGTGGTGATGGAGACGGGGACATAGGTCATCTGAGGCCTGCGGACCACTGGGAAGACTTCAGCTTTTACTCTGGAGGAGGTGAGTCTATGGGATTGATCTGGTTTGTATGGTAACAGGATTACCTGGCTGAGAACAGGTTGGGGGTGGGGCAAGGACAGGATCAGGGAGACCAGGGGGAGGATGGCCTGAGCCACCCAGTCACAGTGGAGCAGGTGAGAGGGGGTCTCTTCCAGGTGGAGCTGGCAGGTTGTGCTGCTGGGTACGTGAGTGTGGAAGGAATGGAGGCGCCCAGGACAACGCCCGGGCGTCGGATGGGCTCCGTGTATGGAGACGGGAAGACTGGGGCCAGGTCCGGGCTTTCGTCCTGTTCCTCTGGCCGACTGGGAGAGCCACCTCGGAGAGGGGACAGAGGGAACGGGATTTATTAAGTGCTCTAGGCGGGTCCAACTTCGTCATTTGTGGGGTCTCTGCAAAAGGAAAAGTGCTCCAGAGCAGGAAGAAAATGCCAAGACAAGAGCTAGGAGGATAAGAAAGCTTCCCCTTTTCTTCCGCAGTCTCTCTCTTGACCCGTCATGGTGTTTTTTGATCACCATTAAATGGATATAGGGGTACATGTGGGGCAGTGCAGACCCTCCTAGGCCAAGGCCAAGGGCACAAGCAGTCCTGGGCAGGATTATTCTGAGAAAATTCCCCATAGTGGCGCCTTTTCAAGAGTGTCTCTTGAAGAAACCTGGAGGCATGACGGTGATTAAAACTAAAATAAAAACAGTTAGCAGTCCTCCTCCAGGGTAGCCTCGCAACCTGCTCCCTCTGCCCAAACACCGCCTCCGCCCTGACCACTCACCCTCTATTTCTTTACCCTGCTCTGTATTTCATTTGTTCATTTTCTGCCTCATTCGATCTAACCTCTGCTCCATGGGAACCATGCTTGGCACACAGTGGGTAGTCAACATGCATTTGTGGAAGGAAAGAAGATGTATACGCGTTTTACCTAAGAAGCCACATAGACAACTGCATGGAAAGAGCCCCCGCCGCCCCCGAAAGGTTTTCCGTCACATCCAGCTGATGACCGGGGTCACGGGTGGGCCGGTGGAAGCCAGGGGCAGGTGATAGGGATGTGAGCTTGTCTCGAATGTTTCGAATTGCCTACAGAGGAAAGAAACGTATGTATTGCTTGTGTCATAAAAATTAATTCTAATTAGAAAAGCAATTTCACGCAGTAATAATTTTACAATAAAGAAACAGAATTTTCAGTGCCTCGGATTGAGATACCTTACAGCTAGCACTCCATCATCCTGAAAGGACCAATTTTGCAGTAAGCAGACAAACGCTGGTGCATTAATAACAATAACAGCATCGCCGATGACGTTTGCTCCTCCCGCTAACAGTTTCACGGGGCTCTGCTGATTCCACTGCCTCCCATGATCTCATTGGATTCTTATGACAACATTGTCGTAAGACAATCTCATTATCAGTGTTCCTGTTTTTCCCAAGAAGATCTGGTGACTTCCTCTGTGCCCTGGACACTGACTGAGGGATTAGAGGCAACTCTTGGCCACCCCCTTCTTTACGTGGCCCTGGCTGTCCCAGCTCAGTAGCCTAGTGGGCCCGAGACCCTGACCCCAGCTCCAGGAGCAGATGAGCCATGATTGGCCTAATCAGTCAGTTCATCCCACCCCCCCTACCTTGACTGGTTCAAGGTTGGCCTCCTGCCCAGGTGGGCAGTAAGATGTAAGGAGATGCTTGCCTCGTTTTCTGGCTTTTCTGAGGCTCTCTCTGGACACAGTGAATGTGGATGTGGGTCTCAGAACCTCTGTAGCCTCTTCCTGCTCCCGAGTCAGCACTGGACCCTGAGGGAGGTAGGAACCAAGAGAACTTCAGGGAGACTGCACCTGATCAAACCACCCCCAAAGCCTTTTCATCTCCAGAACTGTCTGAGACTCGACAGTGCTCTGCTCCTCGCCAGCACAAGCCATCTACCTGTTCGCATAGAGTCGCCCAGGAAAGAGGCAGATGCATAGAGTCAGACAGATGACTACACCAAGGACTTCCCTCGCTGACTCTGTGTGTGTGACACACACCTTCTCGTGACCAGCCTGGTTCCTGAAATCTGAACTTTGGAGTTAGAGGAAAGGCCCGGTATGGGCAGCGAGGCTGAAAGAACTGGACTTCCGGACCCCAGGGGAGGGAGTGGAGGGCAGGACCTCCCACCGCTGGCCACTTGGATTTCTAGGTTAGCGCAGTACCAGAGACCACCTGTGGCTAGACAGCCCGGGCTTCATCTACCAATGCAACATTCGTGTCCACACACCTAAAACAGGGGACAAACGTCTGCAGCTGTAGACACCGGGCGAGGACCTAAACTGGCTGCAGTCACAGTCACCTTCAGGAGTTCAGAGTCCTGTTCCCACGCCGACCGCCGAAAGTGGATACAATTTTCTATTAATGAGCAACCAGATTGCAGGCAGACCTGGTGTCGGGTGACATCCTCGTGCACACGGCTCTACCTGGCCTGTCCCACGTGGGCCCTGACCCCAGTGTCTCCTCACCCTTCTGGCCCCTGGTTGGCAGGGACGAGGATGTGCAGAGCTGGGCCCGGCGCAGAGCCAGGGCAAGACCCCTGCAACTGCCACACCCACCCCAGCCTTTCCAGGAGAATGCCTGCTACTCGGGACCCCACTTATAAATCGGGGAAATGGGGCTGCTCCTCTCCAGAGCTGCTGAGAGTCAGAGCTGTGGGAGATCAGAGTCGGGACTTGGGAGGACTTGGCTTCCTTTTCGGATTGACCTGAACGGAATAACGTGGAAATGAAACCAGCCTGCTGGTCTCCAGAGAGGTGGTGGCAGAGCAGTGGACAGGAGGGAGTTGGGGGTCTCATCGGAGGCTCCTTCCCTTTCTGCCCACCTGCAGGACACCTGGTCTACCTGCAGAGACACCAAAGCATCTCCTGTGACCTCTCTCCCCACCCGTCAGAGGGAGCGCCCAGGTCCCACCCCCCTCTGGAACATTCCCTCTACAGGCAGCTGCTGCTGGCTTCTCATCACACCTGAGACAGCATCACTCAGAGCTCTCGGAACAGCCTCAGATGAGATGCCACTGCAGGGATCGGTGATGGTAACGTGGCCTGCGGAAGTCAGCTCAGAGCGACAGCAGGGCCAGCCTGACGGAGGCCCCTGCTTTCATAGACACTCCACTGCCCGGCTCCTGACCTTGGGCGAGTCACTCGGGAGCTGAAGAGTAATTAAGAGAAGTGTTTCCTTTCTACAACCAGTCCCCCTTTCTGGCAGGTGCTGCGGTGGCTCTGGGATAAAAACAACATGAAAGCAGCGTGAGGTCACCAAGACAAAGCAGCAGGTGAAGCGGACTCCACCGAAGGGACGTCTGAAAGGAAGCGGGAAGAAAGGCATTTTTAATAGACTTGAAACTCGGGGAGGAAGGAGGAAAATGCCTGCCAGGCCCGGGCTCCCCTGTGACAGGGAACAATGGGGTCTCCTTCTAGTCTAGGGCTGCCCAGACACTTATCAGTGTCCCGGTGACTTAATGAGTCCTCAGGACAAGCCCTGGGGCAGGCAGGGGGCCAGGAAGGTCCAGAGCTGAAGGGGAGAAAAATAAAGGGTTTCTCCAAGGCCCTTTGGACCTTAAGGATTAAGAAGACAATAAACAGCCAAGGGTCCAGATGGCCCTTGAGGAGCAGGAAGTGGCTGGGAAGGCAGGGTCCTGTCATTTGCAATGTGGACAGCTGCTCCAGCAACTGGATCGGAAATAGCGGCTACCCAGGGATGCACTTCTTCAATTAAAATCCTCAGCATCTTTATTTCCACTACTTCATGCAGAATGGACGCAATGGTCACAGGACAGCTTTCAAAGGGCAGAGTTATCGCTTTTTTTTTTTTGGCCATAACAATATGACTTCTTGGAAAAAACATTAACCTTGAATTTATTCATTTATTCAGACCTGTTTCATTCATTTATCCACTATTTTCTGAGCGATATCTATTGATCCCCTTCTCTGAGGTACAAATGGACCTCAGGGGATGAACTTTCTAGTAAAGGAGACACAATAAATGAGTGAGAAAAAGACCCTGCAAGACAACAGGGGCCACTGGACCATTCGAGCGCGGGGGACATCGCGGCTGTGCGAGGCAACCTCCACGCACAGGGTGGGGTGGGCTTTAAAACACGGCAGAAGGGTGGGCGTGCTGGAGGGAGTGGGGCAAATCCTGATGACTGCTGACCCCGGGTGACGGGTGTGTGGCGGCTCCTTATGTTCTCCTGGCTGAAAACATCCATAGTAATTGATCGGTTGTGCTCCGTTTATTGCTTCAGGCTGCTATCCACTTGAGAAGTCCCGCAGAACATCGCAAATCACCGACCTGTCACTCTGGCTCACCTGCATGTTCACCGGGCACGAACAGGGCACTTCTCATGGGCAGGGGCCCTCAGCTGCAGACGTTCCTGCTTCTTCTGCTGACGGGACTCGCTGAAACCTTCCTGCAGGTTCCAGGCGCCGGGGAAGGAACTTCATTTCACTCATCTGAACCTCCCAGTGTCCTCGTTACAGAGGTGGGCCTGCTGGTGGTGACTCTGGGCGGAGCTGAGCACCACAGCCGGGACCTGTCACCTGCACTCAAGGGAAGACCCAGGGGTATTTTCCAGCAGAAATAATGGGCCACCGTGGCTTTTTAAAGAGCTGTGACTTATCTCTGGGACCACGTCCAGGCTGGAGCTGCTGGAGACCAGCCCAGGCATCCTGGCCAGTGAGGAGATTTTAATGCCGTGGCGGCCTGTCTGCAGGTGGGAGGCAGCCGAGGCTTCCCCTGTGGAGGTGGCCAGGTGTTAGGGTGACCCGTGCTGCGCACAGAAAAGCAGGTCACTGCAGGAGCGTGTCTTGAGCACTCCAACTTCTCTAGTGGGTTTGAACCACAGGATGGTAAACTGGAGTAACTCAGAGCCCAGGAGGAATATTTGCAGGTGGGACCATGTGGTTTGGTCGCCTTCATTACTCAAAAGCAGGACTTTGTGTTTGCGAAGATGTGAATTATGTTCCTTTGATCAAAACAGCTCCATGTGTCCTCCACATGGAAACACACATCTTTTTGGCCAGTTCCCTGGACCGAGACGGCCATCTCTGCTCTCCACCCAGGGCAGGCCCTCTTCCTCACTCACAGGACCCGAGGTCACGTGCTCCCGAAACCTTGTCCAGCTCCCTGACACTGTGCCTGTGTGACCCTGTTCCAGCCTTGAGGTGGAAGCAGACAGCTGCTGGGGATTCTGGGAAAGCACCGTTTTCCCATTAGCCTCTTCCTCCTGGTCAACTCCTTCTCCTCTGCTCCTGGTCTGGGGCAGACAAGGGCTGGGGCCCAGCATCGCCAGCTGAGGGCACCGTGAGAGCCAAGGCCCAGCTGAGGACGGAGGGCAGAGGGGCAGGGGGAGCCGGCCTGCCTCCTGGTGACGTCACATGGCATCTGCACCCGCCCTGGATCCCGCCCCTGGATGGATTGACCTGGACGGCGGCAGCCACCCTCAGGTAAGATCGTGGAACTGGTTTCCGTGCACTGGGACCGAGCACCTTCCTGGCCGGAAAAGTGTCCACAGCTGGCCCTTGACAATCCAGATCCTGAAGTCCACTCATGTGTGAACTTGCTTGTTCTGGGGTATAGATGGAACACAGCCCTCACCCTACACATAACGACCACCTTCACAGGTAGGAACTCTCAGGCGGTGGAAGCATCCAGTAATGAATCCTGAATTGGCAGGACTTGCTCTGCACCAACCCTGTGACCCCTCCCAGAGTCTCGGAAATGCCGTGTGTTCCATGTGCCGCTCTGCGAGTGACCAGCTCCTGTGCCTCCTCCAGATCTGGGGCCCCATCCTGTAGGAAGAGAACCTGACCATCATCTGAAAGTTCACCTTCCTGACTCAGCCCAGGTGTTTGGGATGAGCTGACCTTGAACCCCCAGGCCCCGGGGCAGGGGATGAGGCACACAAGCCAGGCCTGGCCAGTGATAGGCTCAGTAATATATCGGACCTGTCTGTCCCCACAGGGAGTGCGGGGCCCTCCTGGTGTCCTGCTCTTGTCTGTGGACTTGAACCTGAGTAGAGTGTGAACTTAGCGTCATTGGAGTTGAGCCCAGGTTGCTTCTAGCTGCCTGGTCCTGAGTGGAGCCTGCAGGGAACCCAGTGCCACCGGAAGGGATGGGGGGGGAACCTGGCCGAGTCCAGAGGACACGGCTGAGCCCTCAGACCCAGCTCTGCCTGACGACCAAGCCCCAGTGCACAAGCCTATTACTGCCCTCGGCATGAGCCGCCTGAGTCCGGTCTTCTGGCCCTTGTCACCCAGAGAGTCCCACGGGAGGAGGCTCATTTCCAGACAGAAACTCCCCCGGCCACGCTGGGAAACCTCCAACCTGCCCAGAAACCAAGAGGACACTCGCACCTGCTGGGTTTTTCCTCACGGTCGTCCTGTGTGGGCCTCTCCCACCGCCAAGTGGGTCATTTCCTTTGGCCGAATCCAGTGACGTGTCGGGGACCGTGGCTGGGGTCCGCTGTGCCCACTTTCTGCCGGGAGAACCCACCGTGGTCTGTGCTGACACTGGGACGCTGCGCGCCCGGCGTGGGCAGCAGGGGAAAGTCCCGGCCTCCGTGCTCCCCTCGCACTGGGGCTCCCAGGCCAGCTGGGCAGTGGGCTCCGGAGGTCACACCCACCCACTGCCCTGGCCCTGTCATTTGGGTGCCCAGAGATGACGCTTCCCCAAACTAAGGCCCACCCTCCCCCTGCGACACAGCGTCTGTTATATCACCCGCTCTGCTGCGCTCGTGGCACTTGTCACTCTCTGAAATTGTCTTGCTTACTGACCGACTGACCCGCTCCTCTCCTGTGTGTGTCCCCAGACCAGAGCATGAGCCCCCTGAGGCCGGGGCCCCCAGCAGCAGCTGCACACATGGGAACGAATAGGTGAGTGAGTGAAGGGCTGGGGGAGTGGGGAGGGAGGGTCTCTGGGGCGGAGCTCGAACACGTCCTGTTTTCTTCTCACCCAGAGCCTGGCTGCGACCTGAGTCCTCACTGGGCTCCAGGCCTCGTCTGTCTGGCTGGTGTTTTCCAAGGGAACATTCTGTGACCGTGAACTTGTTCTTTATCTGCCCTGTCCAGTCTGGTCACCACTAGCTACACAGCATTGTGGGGCCCTTGACATGTGGCTGGTGTGACTCAGGAGTTGAATTTTTATTTTATTTAGTTTTAATAAATATAAACTCAGCCATAAGAGGCCAGTGGCTACCAGGGAGGACACACCGGACCCATCGCTCAGCGTCGGTCCCAGCCGTGTTCTCCAGTCTCGCCCCGCTGTCTGCCTCCGCCTGGCCCGTCCAAGGTCCCAGCTCTCACCCCTGCCAACCTCCCTCCGGGCAGGCACCTCCTTCACCTCTGGTTCAGGTGCCCACAGGGCCGGGCACCAGGTGTCAGTTTGAGTAGAGCACTTAAGGCCACCTCAGTTCGGTCTCAGGTCAACGGTGTCCCACAAATACAGGGCAAATACAAACTTCCTTCTACTGGACCTCAAAAGCTGTAAAAATAGCTGACATCGCAGACACAGGACCCAGTTTCCCTGAGATGAGAGAACCACAGGAACTGAGGGCTCCTGAAGTCGGAGATGCTGGTGTGAGTGTCCCCAGGGAGCGTGTGAGGAGGCTGCGGGCGGAGGCGGCAACCGCAGGAGAACTTCTGTTCTTATGGGGGAAAGTGGGGCTCGTCTGTCACAGTGTTTGGTGGCCCCCGAAAAGAGAAAGTTATGCTGGCCTCCATGGAGGATGAATGACTCAGAGGGGACACACTGGTCCCTTGGGAGCTGGACATCAGTGTCCTGTGTCCCAGCGTGCCCAGTGAGGGTTTCCTCAGAGTAAGGGACCCTTCAACTTACCCACGCATGCACGTGTTCACGTGGCATGTGCTAAGATGTGTGATTTACCGCTGTGCCAGGTATCAGGGAGATGGTGGAGGTCCAAGGCCACCTCGGTCCCCCCTGTCAGGCAGTTTCCCTTGCAGGGACTCTGGCCTCAGCCCCACACCCCCCCAGCTTTGGGTCTGCACACATCCCTCTCTCCCTGAGCTGCGGGTCCCTGGTCTCCACCACAGGTGAGGCGTGACAGCACCTGCCCTGCGTGCTTCTTAGAACTGATGTTGCAAGAACAAAAGGCATAACATATGGAAATGTGCTTTGATGTTCAAATAATTATGACTCCGACCTCAAACTTTCCCACCGACTTCATGCCTTTGCAATGTGGCAGGGTTCCTGACAGAGCCCTCCAAGTACCCGCAGGAGGAGGGAGGCTCAGGGCCGGCACGGGGGCGGGACTCACCCACACGGTTTCCCAAGGTGCTAACGCAGACAGTCTGTGCCCAGAGTCATCGAGAGTGTTAAAGCAAACAGGGATGTTGAGGCACAGACGTTAGCAACAGCAGGAAGCTGTCGCTGTCCCAGGGCAGATGGGAGGAAGACATTTGTCACTCATCTGGGTGTGCGTTTTTAAGTCAGCTATTCACTTGTGCGTGTGTGCACCCACATTGCACACGAGTGTCCTGCCGTGTTTCTGTATTAACCATGTGGTTTCTTTCTCCACTCAGATGCTTTGACATTTCAGAGTGGTGCTAATTCTGGAGCAACGCTGACTCTGCAGCAACTGCCCCTCCCAGAGTCAGCCAGTTTCAAGGGATCCAACACAGCTCAGTCTGGAGCGAGCTGGGCAAATACAAACCAGCCAATCCGGAGCCCAGGCCCCCAGGCTCTCCCCACTCTGGGCCACGGTGCACCTGCCAGAATCCACCCAGGGCTGGGTACCAGACAGCCCTGGGACAGCCCCTGTGCCCAGAGCCATGGAAATCATTCAAACTAGCCAATCCCTGGTCACCCTGCCCTGCCCATTCCTTCTGCAGAAACCGCAACAAAGGTTCTTGCCAAGAGGTTGCCCTTGCCTCATCACCGACCCTGCTGCTTCTTCATGTGGCCTCACATGAGCTGCGGGTCCATGAGTATAATAACTGCCTTCATGACAGCCCTTTCTGTGTCCATGTGTCTGACCATAACCAATAAACACAGATGCCAGCCCCTGATTACAGCACTCTGTCACTGTGTGTCCCATTTTGCAGGTATGCTCACAACAGTGACACACACACCTGTTCTCTGGGGTCCCCATGTCTGTGTTTGGACAAATGTAACCTTGCAGCACAAAAACACCCCGTGGTGTCAGAGGCACCGTGCTCTGTCCTGGTATCCAAGAGACCTGGGCTTGCTGCTCAGTCACTGGCCCCACTGTGAGAACCGGTGGCTTTATCGGAGCCTCCATTAAAGGGACTAAATTACCTCTAGAGGGACCCATATTGTGTCGCCACTAATGACACAGTTGACCTCTGGTTAGTTTTCTGCCTCTTTGGTGTCCTGGGAACGGGTGGTGTTTACTCCGGAGGGGACAGTCTGTTATTAATGTGCGTTAACGTGCCAGGGTGTTTGCTATTCTGGGCCGAGGGTTTTCACAGAAATCGGCCAGTGGGCCAGGGCCCTGCTGAAGTTGCAGAATAAGAATGAGGTACTTTCTTTACCCTCGCTCCTCCACCCTGATTTGCATGACTAAGCTTTTTGGCCTTTTTGAAAAATGTGTTTGTTTGTTTCTTGCTTGTTGCTGAGTCTCCTGTGGAGGGAACAAATGACTTGCTCACCAGGCAGGGACCTGAATCTGGCAGAAGCCCAGGTCAGCCCCTCGGGCAGAGGGAGCCAGAAAGCCCATGTTCGCACTGCGGGGCGGGGTGGGGGGACAAGTCCAGAAGAGTTCCATGGCCCAGGGATGGGAGATAAAATACCTTGGTCACCCACAGACTCCTTAAGACGGGGTGCTTATCCCAGCAAAGGAGGCCTAGGTGGGAGAGAAGAACAGCAAGGACCCTGCGCCATTGCACAATTCTGCCCAAGCGAACGAACAGCTAAAAGCTGCCTCTCGGTGAGGCTGTGGGTTCTCCAGGGAAAGACGGGACCTGGCTGACCTCTGGCTCCTGAGTCTATCAGAGCCAGTTACTGGTTTTTACCAGAGATATTTTATAATTTACACTTCACTGTAAGGAAACTCGTAGATAACATAACCTACCTGCATGCATATTTTTATTGCATGCATAGTTTTTAACCGAGATAATAGCCCAACTATAATATCAAGAGGAGAGGAAAGGAATTTATAATAAAAATAAAACACATTTCAACATGTAAATGCTCTGGTATGTCTTAACTAGAAGATATAATAAAGTCATCGGATGCTTGAACTTGAACGTGGAATCCCAGTGAATGAAGCTACAAATGCGGACCGCTGATAACTGCACTGTTGGGGGCAGTTCAGTTGCCCCCGGGGGTGTTGCCGTCAGTAATGAGATGGTTCAAACTGGCCCAGAGCCCTCGGTGAAGCCCTGGACAGAGGACTTCCTCTTCTCTGAGTGGATACCCTGGTTTTATTCTTGAGAAACTCAGTATATTTCAAAACAGGAAAAAATGTTTTGGTGTCTATGTAATACCGAATTTGGTTCTAGGCTCGGGTTGTTTTTAAGCAGCTTTTTTTTTGTTTGTTTACCCAAACATCCGGTGGGACATTCAAAATGAGTGCCAATACCTGAAGAACGACGAGTAAGAGTGGGGGGCTGGGGAGGGTGATTCCAGAATTAGTCCATAAGACCCATGTCAGGGTCCCAGACCAGGAGATGAATGCGGAGAGGGGGAAAAATCACCCAGGAGCCCAAAAGGGCAAAGGTGATGCTTAAGTTGGAATGGAAGTCTAAACCTGCCTCCAATGTAATTTCCTACCTTTTTTTTTTTTTTCCGCACACCTTGGCAGACACTGCAGCAGCTCACCAAATGCTGCTGTTCCCAGCACAAGCCAGGCCGAGTCCGTCTCTGACTTTGCCCCGAACCTGAGGAAGAAGACCACCTTGGCCGCCCACCCAGTGGCACACTACGGGGAGGGCTGCTGACGCTGTTGGTGCCCTGCCGCATCCCCTTTCCTGTCTCCCGACACCAGCTGCTCTGAGTGCTGGAACCTCAAGGCTCACAGGTGCCCCTGCCACCACCAGAGCGCTGCCCTAGACCAAAGGCAGCTTCCTCACCCAGGAGGTTATGACCCCCAGGCACATCCAAGGGCAGCCCATAGCCCACCACGGAGGGACACGGACGCCAAGTCTGGCCCCCTCGCTTCAAGTTGGAATGGACTCTGGGACAAAGTTGGGCTCCAGGGATCTCCATGGAGTCAGGATGGAGTTACTCTCCTCCCTTAGTTAGCTTTCCTCCCTGCCCTGTTCCGTGGATAGTTGAAAACAATAGAAGTCATGCCCGTAAATTTAGGCAGAGAGAGAATTTACTAAAATGGAATGGGTAGGTAGGAAGTTTCCCAGAGGGCCAGGTAATCAGAGAGGCTGCATAGCTAAGAACTTGGTCCAAAAATCACCCCACAGAGCTAGTCATGTGCAAATACCTCTGAGCACAGATGCTGTAGCTCCTGCCACTCAAAGCACAGATGGGCTAGTCCCAGCATTGATTTCATGAGGCTCCTGCTTCTTAAAGTGACAAGACTCCCATTCAAAACCTAGGTATATGGGCCCTGACCAGTATGGCTCAGTGGGCTGGGCATCGCACCACAAAGCAAAGGATCACCAGTTTGATTTCTGGTCACAGCACATGCCTGGGTTGCAGGTTCGGTCCCCGGTCAGGGTGCATGTGAGAAGCAACCAATCGATGTTTCTCTCTTACATAAATGTGTCTCTCCCTCTCTTTCTCCCTCCCTTCCCTTCTTTTTAAAAAAATATGTATATGGGTACAGAGAATGAGTAAAACCAGAGACACTTGCCCCAGCCCTAGCTGAGTAATTGGAGGTACAGCAAAAGGCAGCAGTTAGCAGATGCAGAGTTTCTGTATGGCTACCGGACGTACAAGTGCTCCCTGAACTCCTTAGCTGGCCGTGGAAGAGCTGCCTTCCCCCTTAAGCCGCTGGCTTTCCCACACCAGAAGGTGGCAATACATCCTGCTCTAGTTATGTTGTTCCTCCCCGGTGACAGACAGCGCTGTCACCCCTTCCCCAAGAGTCTCTGTCTTTTTAGCCTCTTTTCCTTAAAGCAACAAAGAGATGACCAACTTGTCATCGGTGTAGCTCCAATCATTACTTACTCTTCCTCAGCACGAAGCCAACCTCGGGATCAATGTGCTGGTGCCTGGAAGCGTTTCATGTGTTCGACCTCAGGCATGGACGCACGGGAGACCATGGAGTCCACCCAGAGCTACACGTATGAGAAGGGAAAACAGGCAGAGAAAGGGCTGCCCTCGTGTCTGCACTAAACTTTCCCTCCCTCCCTCCTTTCCTTCCTTAACAAGTGTTTATGGAGTGTCCGCCATCTGCCAAGCAATATGCTGGAAGTTGGACATATGCTGCCGAGACAAGAATCGGCCTGGTCCCTGTCGCCGTGGACAATTCACTTAGGGTATACAGGACGCTAAAGAGGGCAGATGTTAACCAAACAGTCACTGAAATGGATGCAATCTGCAGACTGAGACAAGCAAGCCGTATTTATCAAAGCCAATGCAATCACGTCCTCGCCTGCTCCGAATCCTCCGGCTCCTTCCCCACGTGCAGGGGAAACTCCTCCCTCCCAGCCCCCGGGGACGTGGCCCTGGCTGCCTCTCTGGCCAGCCTCCTGACATCCTGCCTGCACTTCCTGGGCGCGGCCACATCGACCTTCCTCCATTTCTTCTACTTCCTTAGGCCCCGTCATCTCGAGTCTCTGCTACTCACAGCCACACCCGACCCCACGGACACAGCACGTTCGGGAGCTGCTGTCTTCATTTTAAGGACAAAGTGAAGCCAGATAAGCATTCAGACCGCAGGGTGGCGTGTGGGTTTGGTGCATTCCGTGACTCCTCTGGCTGCAATGAGGAGAAGGGGTGGGTACTAGGGGTGGGTGTCAGGTATTGAGGGGGTGGCAGGTGAGCCCTCCTCGCCTTCCACAGTGTACGGGACATTGAGGCAGCCAGGGGAGAGATTACGTCGAGATGAACTGACACCTGGAGGCCAGACGGGCCCTGACTGGTACCTGCCTGGGGTTCCTGCATAGCAACGTGGTTTGAGATAAGTCACGGTTTTGGACCCCAACTTCCTTGTCTGAGAAGCAGGAGGCTTGACGACTATGTGATTTATCTTATAAGGACCCTTCCTGCAATTTTAAAGACTTCACACTTCTGCCCAAGGGCACAGCCAAGAATGAGCAAATGTTGAGCCAGATCTTTCTGTCTGAGTTTCTTGTTCACGTTCATGGCCGCTTCTGCTTCCCCAAGCAAGCCCACCACGCCTCGTCAGAAATGAACAAACGGAGAGGTGGAATCACAGCGCCCGAGAAGGTGACGGCAGAGATCCCTGGAGATGAACACCCCGAGGCCCGAGGCCCAGCATTCTCCGATGTCCATGCCTCCTGTGGGTCCACAGTGATGGGCCCCAATCCAGCAGGGGAGACAGACATGGATGGACAATGTGTATGTGAATTAGTGCGGCTGTTTCAATAAAACTTTATTTGTAAAATGGGGAGCAGCCTGGATTCGACCCCAGGCCATGCTTTGCTGGCTGCCAGGATGGAGAGTGACCGGGGTGGGCAGAGAGCTCCATCAATAACGTGGCCAGGGAGGCCTCACTGAGGATGCAGTGGGGGTGAGAAGAAGTCACCAAATGAAGACCCTGGGGCAGGCGTTCCAGGCAGAGGCAAGGAGGCCGGAACACACTTAGTAAGTTGGAGAAACAAGGCTGGAGGAGCAGAAGCCAGACAGGAAATGGCAGGTGCGCCCGCCACTCATTCACCCCTCCCAACAGCCCCCTGAGGAAAGAGAAACTATTGCCCCATTTCCAGAAGAGGAAACTGAGGCACAAGGAAGTGAAGCACCTGGCCCAAGGTCACCCCCAGCTAGTGACTGCTGAGGCCAGTGTGTCCCCCACTCTGCTCACGATGAGAACTGCCCACAGGGGAGACAGCTGCTGTGGCACTCACCCCAGAGCCCTGCCCAGAGCTGGGCCAGGAGAGAGACTTGGGGAACAATGGACAAAGAAATGCCAGTGACATTTGTCCAGCACCGACTCTGGGCTGGGCCCTCTTCTAAGACCTTCACGTGGACTAATTCATCTAATCCTCACATCAACCCTATGAGGTCACCATGTGACAGAGAAGCAAACTGAGGCATGCAGAGATTAACTCATTTTCCCAAGGTTGTGAAGTAGGGGGAGGCAGAGGTGGGATTCAAGTTCAGGCTGTCTGACTCCAGAGCCCCAGCTCATAAGGTCTGTATGCACACACACGAGTGTGCATTGACATGTGCACAAGTGTGCACACACACAGACACCAGAGAGTCAGCAGCAAGCAGCAGTTAGAAGAAGTGTGTTGCCCCACATGGAGCCATGGGCATCACGCGTGGGCTGTTTTCCATGAACCGTGGGCACCCAAGACGCAGCTCCTTGGTACGTGGTCGTTTGTCAGGACGGCTGCAGGGGTGTGGGATCCTGACGCCCACAGTTCCAGCACGCGTCTGCTTTTGTCTGCCAGGGCTGGGCTTTTCAGACACACTTCACCCGTCTGGGCCTCGGTCTCCAAATCTCGAAGCCAGGCTGGTAACGTCACCCCTCTCCAAGGGCTGTTGCAGTAACAGCTGTGAGTGCTTAGCGCCACACCTGGCTCACAGTCAGTGCCCAGTACGTGCGGGTTCACACAATCACTGCCCCGTGAAAAAACAGTCTGCCTCCTGACTCCCCGGCGCCACATAGCCCCTGCGACCCTCCCTGAAAAGAGCCACACTGGTGTCATTGTTTCAAAGTGCCGTCACTCCAAGCACCCAGGTAAGCTGTCACACGTCAGCCAGAGACTCGCTGGCCTTTGTCTCCAGGTGCCGAGCTGATAGGATCCAATGCCACAGGGTCTTATTCTCTTCTCCCTGCCCTTTTTCTGTACAGATCAACAACCACGACAACAAAAAGGTAAGAGCTGCACCTGGATCTTGTGATTTTATGATTATAGTAACACATAGGAAATCGGGTGCCTTGGGGACTTAGTGCCTGAGAACGAGTTGTTGCTGTCTAGATAGACCGGGTGAAAAGAGGAGATTCAAGGGCAGGAAAGAGAAGGACCCTTGGTGATGGGAATAGAATAACTCTATGGCCTTTGACAGTCCAAATTAAATTAAATGCCGTGAGTGCGTTCTTCTTGTCATAAGTTTCCAGTGAGAGAGAGAAGGGGCACCTCCAACAGTGAGTCAAAAATGAAGGACTCGGTCCTTTGCCTTCCTGGTAGGAATAGCCCCGCCTCCTCACCAGGACCTGCAGGGCCCTGACACCCATCCCTGCCCACCTCTCCCACCTCCACTCTGCACTCTCCCCCCTTGCTCAGCAACCACGCTGGGCCTGCTGGGCCCTGAATCACACCAGCGTGACTCTCCCCACCTCCCAGCCCTTGCCCTTGCTGTTCCCTCGGCCCTGATCTTCACACGCCTGCTTCTTCCTCCACACCCAGGTCTCGGCTCTAACACAGGGTCAGAGGGGCTTTCTCTCAAGGCACTGTATCTACACAGAGCCCACGCTGCAGCCCCCACCCTCTGCCAGTCCACCGCCCCATTGTATTTTTTCATAGCATTGTCACCATTTAAAATATTCAGGGTGTATTTTCAGTGTGAGCACCACGAGATCAAGGGTCTCATCTTTTCTGTTTAGTTTTCCCCCAAACACCTAGAATGAGCTGGGCAGAACACAGGTGCTCAATAAATCCTTTTAAGTCATCCTTTCTCATGACTGAATGAATGACTTGGTCACTACCTAATGGGGTTTGCTACTCTTTCTTTACCAAGGGAATTAGGCACAAATCCACAGTACGTGTGTCAGTGATCATCTAGTGATGCCTTGAACATGAATCAGATTTTTTTATTCTTGTTTCCATTTACATGCCTGGCTGGCTGGCTGGCAAGCTAGACTCAGAGTTTCTTGAGAGCAAAGGATATGTTTTGTGCTTCTCTGCACAAGTCATCATCCTCCATGATGACTTGCACTTGGCCGACTCTAAAGAGGTACCTCAGGATTGGATTGGATTGGATTGGATTGGATTGGATTGGATTGGATTGGTCTGCACTGAACTGAACTGGATTGGATTGGGTTAGATTGAACTGGATTGTACTGGGACATGAAAACCTGAGTCATCATCTAGAAAGTTTGGTCACTTTCACGGTATCCACAATGTTCTTTCATCAGTGGCAGCTCATTGGCCTCTAAACCTTCCCTCTATAGACTCTCCCCTCTTCCCGGATGCATTTCCACTTCAGTCCCACTCCTCCTGATGAAGCCCTACTCATCCCTCTGCCTGTCACTTCTTCTGTGAAGCCTTCCCTGATTTCTCCCTTCAAGGTTGATCCCTCCACCTCTATTAGAGCACATGCCCCACTTTACTACTATTTTTATTCTCGTGTCTGCCTCTACTATTTCACTACTTGGTATACTGGGAATCCTTTAAAATTAATTCCAATTGTCTGTTAATTTTGTAAGACCCCCCTAGTGCCTAGCTCAGTTTCTGTCAAATGCTGAGCCCCTCTAACACAAAAATTGTTTTTTGAGCAAATGATCAAAGTAACTGTAAGGTGAGATACATACAAGTAATGTGTCTAATCCCCACTTTCCCCTGTGACAATGGTGGCTCCAGGGGGCAGGGATTCTGTTTTCTTTCCTGATTTAACCCCCTTGCCTTGTATGGAACCTCATGCCCAAAGTTCCAAAACACACACGTCAGATGCAAGGAAGCACCGAGCCAGTGAGAAAGAGGGACTGACTCTGATGGGCATCCCCAAAGCCTCAGGGAGGAGGCGAGTCCAAACTGGTGCTTTAAAGAATGGTGGAAGCCTGTTCGTTCAACAAAACTAGCCGAAGACCTACTATGTGCCAAGGTCTGTCATAGGCGTTGGGCTACAACAGTGAACAAGACAAAATCCCTGCCCTCTTGGACCTGACCTTTTAATGGAGAAGAAAGACAATAACCAATAAAAAGAAAAAGAAATGCAATATGATGTTGAGAGGTAAAAAGTGCTTTGGAGGAAGTACAGCAGAATAAGAAGATGGAGAAGGATGGAGACGTTCTTTTAGGTGAGTGGTCAGGGACGATGGTCTTACAAGGGAGGATATGGTAGAAATGAGACCTGAGGGAGTGGGGGGAGATGAGGAGCAAAGCCCTGTGGTTGAGTGGAGTGAGGGAGGCAGCGGGGACTGAACACAATGCGGGGGGTGGGTGGGGGGCACAGAGAGAGGTGAGAACCAACGAGCAAGTCATTAGGCACTGTCACACACTCAAATTTCACTTCAGGCTATTTTTAGCATTTAAGCATTTGACAGTGATTATTACTATTCTAGTATCATAAAACCCTCCAGAAAAGTGCTTCAGACAGATGCTCTTCTCTGTATTGGAAATACGTTCCATATTGATTGCGGTGCAAGGATCATAGGAAGACAATCTCATTTCTCCACCTGACTTCCCGATCTGTTGGCAGGACCCTAATTTGTCAGGATGCTAATTTTACACAGCAGAGCCCTCACAGGCCCAAGCCCGTTGCTATGTCTGCTGTATGCCTTTGGTGATGATTTCTGCCCCCTGATAGGAGCAGGGCTATGAAAAGGAGTACAAAACCCAAACATCAAAGGATGGTCCCTCCCATTCCAAGAAGCCCAACCAGAATACCTGGAAGGCAGCAAATTCTCCTGGTCGCTTGCTGTCCAGACGGAAGGAATCAGGTTTACAAAGGGACCCGCAGAATCTCACCACAAAGACCCTGGTCTTTTCTCTTCGTGAGCTTACTCCGTCAAGCCCTGGTGGGTTTGGTTTTATTTGAGGTT